TGTGTGTGTGTGAGACGGCCATTTGGGTGAGACGTCTGTACGTGGAGGCTGGTGTGGTTGGGGTGAGAGCGGGTGAGTGGTTGCCTGTGCCGAAAGGATGGTTAGTGTTCGTCTTATCTGCCTCACTAGGGAATGAAGTGGTTGTCGGATGTGGTGCACTCGTTGGGCCTCAAATTTGGCATCTACTTGGACTTTGGGACGAAGACGTGTGCCGGATTTCCAGGTAGTTTGGACTACCTTGAAGTGGACGCGGCCACTATGGTTGATTGGGGTGTCGACTACATCAAAATGGACGGCTGCTGCAGTGGTCTGGAGGTTTGCTTTGTTTGTAGGACAAATGAAGTGTTCTCAATCTCACTGAACTTCATCATTTTACCAATTATTTCCATTAATTTATATGATTTTTTAGTTTCCTATTCTTGTTATTTGCAAACTCGTGGCTATGCCCAATTCAGGAGTTAGTTGAATGCCAAAAATCGTTCTATCCTCTTTGAATTCAGCTATCCTCTTTGTTCTATCATCTATAAATTATATTTATCTAAATTTGACCCATTTGACCCATTCGCCTCATTGGCGAATCTCAAGTGGTAAGAAAGAAAATGTACTCTGACTTTCTGGTATTTTACGCAGTGGATTAGGTCACAATATGAAGACTTTTGGGTCATTGGGATGACCTTGACACGCTTCTTGGCAATTTTGGCCTCTCATTGGCCGAGGCACGCGCCTATTCTAAGGCTGTGCGTCCTGACTTCAAAGAAGTAGCCATGCAGCCATCTTGTAACTGCTTCCTCCCTTGGCGCTGCAGATGTGTTCCCTGTCTTCCGTACAATCGTAAGTCCTCTGGGCAGAGCTAGTGATTCGCTTTAATCGGGATAAATCGGGTAAAACGGCTGACCAACTGGACTCCATCGCGGAGATTAAGGTTATCACGCCTTCCTCGTACTTCGTTAGGTCGGGAAGCAGTTTTTATCCGACTCCAATGGCGGTCTGGTACTTAGTTTCCTTCACCTCAGAACAGAATCTCTCAAACGCATTGTCTTGAGCCTCAAAGATGCTGACATCCTCATTGTGGGACTCTTTAATCTCACAAATGCCTTTTCAGGCATCGATGTTTTCATCATAAACACCACTGAACCCTTCATGGTGCGTGTCAATCCCAGTTGGATTGCCATGCCTATCATGCAACTCTTGTCTTAGGCTTGAGCTTGAGCTTGATTGACGTCGCACTACATCCCCTTCATTTCCAATTACTCACATTACCTTGGTGGCGCCCTCTGCGCCATCCTTTTTTGCTGTCTCTTTCATTTTATTCATTTCTGTTCACCTCAAAGTCCCATTAATGACGTCACAGTGTGTTATTTTAAAAAAAAATAATGCAAATGTTTTTTAAGATTTGTGCATTGGGAAACAATTAGGAATCAACTTCACACAGATGAGAAGTCCTGGTGTTTATTGAAGTGGTTGAGCAATCAGCATAACTATTCCGCTAGGATTGATGCGGACTTCAAAAGGCTCCGTGGAGTTAGTGGTCACGAGGTCCGATCCCGTGAAGGCGTCGATCAGTCTGAAGGTGCTTCCACCATCACCGTTTGGTGGAATCCCAAGTTCATGCAGGGCGATGACAAGGGCTCTCGGAAAGCCAGATTCGTCATTAAGGTTGAGAAATGCCAACGCCCAACCCGCATTGAAATCTGCAAGTTTTCGTGTCCATACCTAAGAAAATAATTTACACCATCGCTAGTTCTCTGTAAATACAAGTTGAGGGCGTTTTCTTGAGAAGTGGATAGATGGGCAAGGGCTGACGTACCTTTACTCCTAACTCAGGAATGAGAAGTTCGGCTGGTTTGCCGAGTTTGTCCTGATTTACACGAATGACGAGCGGTGCTTGAAGAATCTACACGGTCCGTGAATAAAATTTGTCTTTGAGTAGAAGAAGGGCGGTTTCGAATAAACGTGTGTGAAGCAAGATGCAAAGGGGCGTTAATTTTGGGTGTGACTGTAAAGCCAAGATGAAGTGTCACGAGATAATGAAAGGGTGTGCCGCTTTACCTCCTTCATTTCAGGATGGACAGTGGCTAGGTCGAGGGAGAGGATGAGAGGAGAAGCGTGCATAGCCCACACACCCATTTGCACTCGAGTCTCGTCCCACGAGAGCCCAAAATTCCCACCTATAAGCATGTCAAGGTCATTCCAGTGACCCGGTCCAGCGAGCGGAATCAGTGTCTCCCGATGCGTCTCATAATCGCGCATTATTGACAGTACTGAAGCCCACGAGTCCTACAAAGTGGAAGAAGGAATGCGTGGAATCGTGTTAAAAATTTGTTGGGATACTCTGTTCGTGCATTCACCTGAATGTCGCCTAGCATTCTCCAGAGGTTGCAGTTTTCGACAAGTTGGGACCAGTTAAGTTTTTCACCATCGGTCCAGTGTTGATAGGCGGGATAACTGCAAGAAAACACTATCGGACGGTTGGAGGCATTCAAGAACTGTCCAAACATTGCATATCCATCGGCTTGGATCTGTAGAATGAATTGAAAGGCATATCGTTAAGTGTGCTGCTTTAATCCTCGGTAGGAGGTAAATGAATTACACTGGGTTTGCTGTAGCAGCCGTCCATTTTGATGTAGTCGACACCCCAATCAACCATAGTAGCCGCGTCCACTTCAAGGTAGTCCAAACTGCCTGGAAATCCGGCACACGTCTTCGTCCCAAAGTCCAAGTAGATGCCAAATTTGAGGCCCAACGAGTGCACCACATCCGACAACCACTTCATTCCCTAGTGAGGCAGATAAGACGAACACTAACCATCCTTTCGGCACAGGCAACCACTCACCCGCTCTCACCCCAACCACACCAGCCTCCACGTACAGACGTCTCACCCAAATGGCCGTCTCACACACACACACACACAGCTCCATCGTCTTCCCTACACACACGCACGCATTTACACCTACACGCACCTACACACCTGCATTCCTTCTCCCTTCATTTGGCATGTGCTTCTGTGTTGTGTGGTCACGCGCTGCGTTGAGGCCACGGGTGGCATTGTTGTTGCGGCATTCACATGAGTGAGATGATGGAACGTCTCTCACCATCCAACAACGCACAAACGGTGCACATCAACACACAAATTGAGTACAATGAGGGGGTGAAGAAGGGTGC